CCTGGGAGCTGGAGCCGCCTCTAGCTGGAACATCCAGATGTGGGGACATCCAGGTGTGGCACATCCCTGGGAGCTCCAGATGTGGCACATCCCTGGCATTTGGGACTGTTGCTGCCTGTGTTTCCCCTTTGTGCTTGGCCCTGATGGCTGTGGGGGCAAAACCTGGAACACCAGATTCTGGGTCTCTGAAGCCTCATCCAGGGATCTGCGGGATGCTTGGGGGAGCAGCGCAGCTTTATGCCAGGTTGAAATGAAATGGCAGTTGAGACATCCGTGGTAGTGGCCTGGTGGAGAATAGCTGGGCTGGGCTTCCTCCTCAGGGACTGCAGGGTTTTGCTGTGGTCCCTTGGCTCTCGGCATTTCGGATGGATCCATCACCCATTGGCTCATTTGGGTGCTGACCTATGTGGGAACGTGGAGACAGCAGCATGTGCTGCCCTCATCTCCCTGATTTGGGGGTAGGATCATCACCTTGTCACCCTGACATGGGGCTGGACTTGGGGAGAATGGGAGTACTAGCAGTCCCAGCATTGCTGGTGGTGCCGGCAGCCCTGTGGCTGGGAGAAGAAGCATTCCCAGCTCGCATTTGCAGAGAGCTGGAGATGGTAGCTGTGCCCCAGGCTGCTGCAGTTTGCAGGGTTCCAGGGCCTGTGTACAGGATCTTGGACTCCTGATGAAATCTCACGGGCCTTTTCATCTGGCGGCCAGGAATCCCAGCGACTGTTGACCCAAAGGAGTCATGAGCCAGGCTTGAAGCCAGCGTGAAACCCTCTGCTAGGGATGATAATACAGCTCCCTGCCACCCCTGGCCAGTCCTCCCTGTGTATTTAGTGAGGGCTTTATCATTGCATCAGCTTTATGGACAACTTTCCGAGCGTGCTCTGAGGCGGGACCATGACAGAAGCCTAGCTGCGATGGGCTAGCGTGGGCTATGGCCGCAGCGTGTGGCAGTGGCCTGGCAGGAGCCGGGGGAGCTGGGGCTGGTGTCTCACATCACTGGTATTTTGGCATCTCCCTTGGAGCTGCGTTTGGCCTGTTGATGCGCCAAGCCCCTGATGCTGCCTGTTAACATGAGAAGAGGTTTTAACCCTATTGGCATGAACTCAAACCTCCCCTCCCTCTTCTCCAGTGCTTTTCCTATATACTCTTCCCCCACTAAGTAGGGATATATGTGCTGGGAGCCCCTCACCGCATCCCACAGGATAAGCCAGGATAAAAATCCCCCCTGGAGTGTGGCTAAAGTGATCCCTATGGCAGACAGCTGGGGCTGGGGCTAAGCTGAAGCTCAGCGCTGGCTCGGTGCTGGTAAGGGGAAGAGGAGGAGGAGGTGGCTCTTTGGCCTCCGGACAGTTGGATGGGAGCAGGAGTGGGGCTGGTGGGGCTGCAGTGGGTGCAGGTTGGAGGGGACAAGCCATGGTCCCCCCGTGCCCCAGTTGCTGGGGATTTGGGGCAAGAAGGGAAGGCAAAGGAGCCATTGTCCCCCGCCAGCTATAGCTTCAGCTAGTCTGTCCATCAGCCTCTTCTCCTGTGTGTCCATCTGTCTGAGTTCAGCATCCCTGAGCAGGGGGGATGGAGTAGGAGGGTGGCTGGTGGTGACCAAAACCCTACGGTGGGGCCCTTGACGAGGAGGGGCCGGTCATGGGCTTTTGGTGCTGAGACCCCCAGAAGCATCAAGACCCCTTGGCAGGGCTGGAGGGTGCTGCCGCTGTCCCCGTTTGCCCTCCCAGGCGGGGGGAGCAGCTCAGCCCATCTGGCCACGCGGCTGTGACCGGCGCAGGGCACATCTGGCCAGGCAGATGTGGGGACTTGTCAAGGGGGTCACTGGCAGTTGTGTGTTTCCATCTCCCTTTCTTCCCCCCTCTACCTGCTCTGGAGCGCAGGTCACCCCAGCTCCCTGTGGGCTGCTGTGGGGTGGGAAGGAGGGGCACTCGGCAGTCCTGTCCCATCCTGCTGTGGGGCTGGGGTGGCTCCACAGCCCAGGGAGGGGGGCCGGGTCCAGGCAGCCCCTGGGCCACTCGGAGTCTGGCCAGCCATGGAGATCTGCCTTTTTGCTTGCGGTGCTGAGCTGCGAGCGTGGAAGGACCATATGGTCCCCTCTGCGTCGGCCTAATAAACTCGAGAATACAGGTCAGGCGCTGCAAATCCCGTTAACCACAGTGGGCCGGAGAGCAGAGCCAGCAACCAGGGCTTAGTCCTTCTGCACCCTCAAACCCAGCCAGAGGTGGGGGCATGAGAGCCACCTTCCCTCCTGGGGGCTGCTAGAAACCAGGGCAGGGGCTGGGGACAGTGGTGTGGGGACTAGAGTCTCCTGAGCTGTTTTGCTTGTCTGTCCAGCCTTCTATCCATCCTTTCTCCTTCCATCTGTCTTCCTTCCATCTCCTGAGCTGTTGTGCTGTCTGTCCTTCTGTCCATCCTTCCATCTATCCTGCCGTCCATCACCTCTTCTTCACCTTCCTAGAGTTATTTTCTTGCTGTCCAGCCATTTCTGATCTGCCTGTCTCCATCCATTCATCCATCCATCCATCCATCCAGGCACCCTCTATTCTCCCTGCTGGTTCATTTATCCTTATCCACCCTTTCTTCCTTGCTACCTAGTCAGCAGCCATGCATCCATGCAGCCACGCATCACCTTCCTCGCTTCTCCTTCCCTCCCCACTCTGTCCCTCCGCGGTGCAGAGGCTTGGGCTGGGCTGGGCTGGGATCCACCCTTCTGCCACCCACCATGGGCTGGATATGGCTGGGTTAGACGTCCTCCTGGCAGGATTAGTTTATGGCCAAGGAATGGAGGCGCTGGTCTGGTCCTCCTCCTGGTGACAAATTATAACATCATTCAAATGCATTTTGTCTGTGGAAGGAAATAGCTTCTCTGCGTGCTGGCAATCCACCTGTGCTGAATTAATCGTGACTGTCACCTTAATCTCCATCCCAACTTGTCCCTGCTCCTTTCCCCCATCCAGCATGGCCAGGGTGCAGGTCTGTACCTGAGCTTGGTATCAGGGACACCCTGGGTGTCCCCACCACAGTAGGACTTTACCACACCGAGCTGGCGATTGCCATGGTGGCTTATCTGAGTTGAGCAGGGTCTCCAGTGCATATCTCTGTCTGGCTGCAGAGGGGAGAGGGGCTTTCCTTGCCCCCCCCCAACCCTTATTTGCCATCAGAGAATCCCCATGGCAAGGAGGAAGGAGCCGGTTGCTGGGGTCTCGGGCTGGAGGTCTCTGTCACAAGCCAGGGCTGGATGCCAAATTGCAGATAAAAAACTGGCTGCTTTTGCCCTCCCAGTGCATGAGTGGCAGCGGGTGCCCTCACTGGCAGGCGGCTGGGTGCAGGCTGGGTGCTTCCCAGGCAATGTAGCTGCGGGTGCTACCTGTCCTCATATCAAGTGCTAATCCTTTTATGGGTCCTCTAAGCTGCTTAATTCCCCCATGCCCCACAGCAGAGAGTTCTCTGCATGGGCTGTGGGGTCCTGCTTCGCCTTCAGCCCCAGGGGGCCCGGCTGAGGCCATGCTGGGGAAAGCCCCTGGGTCCAGGCATGCTCCAAAGCCCCTGCCGGGGCGGGGGCCAAGCCATTCCAGGGAGCTGAGCTGTCACATCTGCACCTTTTGCTGCTGTTTGACACAGGTAATTTGGGCTCTCCAGCTCGGCAGCCACTTGGGAGCGGTTGCAATCAGCGCCGGGATCGGTGGGTGCACGGGGCTGGCGGAGAGCCGAGGCGGGGAGGGGAGGACGACCCAGGCCTCGTGGGAATTGCTGGCAGCCACTGGCAGATGCAAAGACCTTGAGATGTCTTCCAGACTCCCGCAGCTGCCAGCGTAGCACGTGCCATCGGCCCGATTACCGACTGCCTTTCAGAGCATCTGCTGTAGCAGAAAGATTTTTCATGGGGTTTCACTTTGCTCACTGGCTGCAGCAGTGGGGCAGCTGGCAACCTCTGAGAGACTCGGGCATCTCTGGCCTCCAGGAGCATGTAGCCCCAGTGGATGCTGCCCGCTGCCTGTGCAGGGGCTGACGCTTTGCCTGTATGGTGTTTATTCTTTTTTTTTTTTTTTTAAGGCAAAATGGTCAAAATGAAGGGCAAAAGAGATTTCCTAAGGGCTGTCAGACCTGGGCGCTGCTGGGACTTGCAAAAGGCGGCACCAACGTCATCATCAATACCTGGAAAAATTGGGGCTGGGCCAACAACAGAGGGACAGCACTGTGTGGGTGGCACCCCTGGGTGGGTGACGGGTGACAAACCAGCCGTGACACCACCCTTACAGACAGCCCACAGGGACGGAGCAGGTCTGGGGCAAAGGTGCCAATTTAGCCACATTTCCCATGTGATCTAGGAGCTAAAAGCAGGAGGAAAGCCTTGATCATAGATACTTGTTGGGATCTGCCAGCCAAAAATTAGCCTGGAGCTGCCTAATTTTTGGTGACAAGCCTCTGAGGAAACTCAGCATCCTTTTCTCTGCACATTTGGAAGGAGGGATATAGCCAGTTATGCCCTGGGTCTGGGATGAGTGGGTCTCTGCTGTTTTGGCTGGTGCCTTGGCATGGGTGCCATGGTGTGTGACCAGTGCTTCGGGCTCCCAAGGGACAATACTGGGATTGGAAGTGGCTTCAGCATACCCTGGCCCAGCCTTGGGCAGCCCCTGAGCAACCTTCCTTGCTGGACACCCCATCCCACGCTGAGGATGGGTTTGGTGAGGCTGGAGCCACCCACCAGGAAGCACAACAGTGCTGAAGGTCCTGGGTAGGTTTTCTATGTTTTGGGTTTGCAGCAGAGAAATGCAGCCAGGCTCTTGCTGCCCTTGCAAGGGGTCCAGGGGCTGAAGCACCAGCTCCTCCTTGCTGTGGCGCTGGACCGCTCCTGCCTGGGTCTGCTCTCCCTGCTCTGGGGCTCAGGAAATGCTTTGGAAGGGGATACCCCACACTAACCCGCCCTCTCCATCCCCTCTGCAGCTCACGTCAAGGGGCCAGCCCCCAGCCCTGAGCCCACTGAGCCCCCTGGTGCCATCATGCTGCCCGTGAGCTACCGCCTGTCCAACACCCGCTTGGCCTTCTTCCTCAAGGAGGTGGGAGCCAGCCCAGTGGGCAATGGCAGCGCTCCGCTGCAACGCTCCGAGCCCTTCGTTGTCTTCCAGACCAAGGAGCTGCCCATCCTCAACGTCACCCTGGGACCCTTCAGCACAGGGCTGGTGCTGCCCAAGGAGCAGCTGCAGCCCTCCAGCACGCTGGAGGTCCCTGACCGCCTCACCGTCAACTGGAAGGTGCGCGCCTTCATCATCCAGCCCCGGCTGGTGGCCAACCAGCCCGTGGTCCAAGTGCTCTTCTACGTAGCCGGACGGGATTGGGATGACTTTGATGTCACTGACCGGCTGCCCTGTGTGCGGCTCCATGCTTTCCGCGATGCCCGTGAGATCAAGAGCTCCTGTCGCCTGCGGGGCAGCCTGGCCATGTGCCTGGTGCAGGCAGAGCTGCCCCACGCCTGGTTTGGCCCCCCGGCCATGCCGCTGGGCAGGCGGAAGAGCCCTGAGAGCCTGGAGGTGCCAGGTGAGAGCCAGCAAGCTGAGCTGTACTACACCCTCCATGCCCCTGACGGGGCTGGCCAGTGCATTGTGGAGACGGTTGTC